TAAAGAAAATTTAATAAAAATGCAAATGCCTAGCTATAATGATAAAAAACATATATTATATTTTATACGATTTACGTTTCAATTACACGGACAATACTGAACAAATAAAATAAATCCCATACAATAAACCGGATGTTCTCTAGAAGATTTACTATATATTATAATAAATTGATTTTTCAGGTAATGCTCGAACAGCATTATGTATATAATCGCATTATCATGCATAGGTTTAAAGGTATGATGTTTTAAACAGTATTGGTCTATATAAAGTTACTTGTTAACAGTTATTTCAATATAATTAATAAATAATGTATTTAACATCATCTATAAATTCACCTGCAAAAAATTTTTTCTTTAAAAAAATTTATCTAAACAATAATGAATTACTTTTTATAGTTCCAAAAGTAAAGTAATAACTCAATTGCGTACACTTTTAAGTACTTAATGGCATTACACATTTTATAAGGGTGTAAAGAGAAATTGTAATTTCACTCATTTTGAAAAGTAACTTTTTCACCACATTTTAAAGCAATCATACAATATTAGGTATAATTTATTATAATTAAAATAATCTAAATATATTATAGATATATATATATATATATATATATATATATATATATATATATATATATATATATATACATATTAATATATATAAAATGTCCTAACATATAACGAAAACACGTTCGTATTCCCTCAGAAAGTTTAAAAATGTAATTAATGACCAAATAATATACATCTCAAACAAATCGTTATGGCACAAAAAATTGCAAAATAAAAATTTTACCGTTACCTACTACAAATTACGTTACAAATTTCTTAGTTATATTATAGTGTATAAGCAAAAAATTAATGCAAATGGATAAATTTTTGGGCTCTAATTATAATAGTATACACACAAAATTATAATATTTCTAGTTTCTAGTATTTGCGTATTTTTTAAGAAAAGAATCCCGGCCTAACAATATAATACAATATAATAATAAGATGATCATGCATGCATTTTACGATATTAAAGCATTTATAATTCCTTAACAAAAAAATACAGTTAAAACAAAGATAAAAATGAACGAATATATTGGAAATATTGAAATTATTTTAAACCCCCCAACTTGATATAACTAATATATAAATAATAAGCGCTGCAGGGAATAAGTTTATACTGTAGTTTCTGTATACCACATAAGATTAATGGTTCGCATATTATAATATAGTCGGAAATATTATAATAATAATCCATGTACATGAAAGTTAATAACACAAAATGTTATAAATTATAATACAATATTAAGTATTTAAAATGGCCTAATATGTATAATTATGAGACTAAAGACTTTTATATCCAATTAAAGTAACTATCGCGATAGTTATTGTTTGCGACTATCGCAGAAGAAAGCGTTCGTACGATGATAGAGTACTAGAGTCAGTGGAGTATTAAATCGTAGAAAAACGGGAAAATTTAAGGAAATAAGAGTTTATTAATTTCAATTTTGTTTTTTTGGTTGTGTAATTTGTCTAATTCAGCTAAACATTATTCGTAAAAACTTGAATTTTTTATAGAATACTTATTGTGGCTTTTTCTAGACGTGGTCAAATCTTCAAAAAATGTTGACAACTTTTGAGCCCGGTTTATAAATATTTGACATTTTTGAGTTTTATTTTTATTTTTATTCAGTAGGTATTATTCGGATAAAATTGTTTTACCAAATATAAATACTTGACAATTTAACATGATTTGTTCATTAAAAGTTGTAGTTAGCTAGGCCGAACTGGCCTAGTGGTTTACCAACTATTGTTCTAGAGAAAAGTAAACCGCTGTCCTCGGTTGGGTTGTGGGCCGATACCCTGTTAGTGATACAATAATATTATATTTATATCGATTGATACGACTTAATAGAAGGTTATGAGATAGAATTTACTTGCATTCAAGTATTTAAAATATATGTAAACGTATAATTTTAAAACGATTTGAGTTTAATGAATCGGTGAATGGGGTTTATAAAAAACAATAATCTTTAATAATAGCTAAAAACGTATTTCATTAAAATAAAAGTATGAAGAGTCCATTAGAAACCTTGTGCTATTTTTTATGATATTCGTTTTATAAGTGTGTACAGTTTTTAAATATTATGAAGCGTTAAACCGGTAAATACCAGAGTAGTGTTATTACCATTATACCTAGTATAGTCCAGCATTGATACTTAGTGGACAAAACATTTTTTTGAAAAATGTGAGTGTTTTAAAATTACATTTCATATAAAAATTTTATCATTTCAAAACATGTATAACAAAACTTCGATCAAATTGGTTTTTCGTTAGCAATGGTATATCTATAAAAATACAAATAAAAAAAACTTTATGTGGGTATCCAACTTTCCCAACTTCCCACTTACAACAGTAGTACACCCGTCCCTACTATCAACTCTTGATTTTTTCAGATAATAACAATATTTTAACACAAACAATATATTCAATTTTACTTATTTGGGATCTTTTTCTGCTTATCGAATAATTTCCGGAAAGATTTTAATTCTTAGAATTAGGTAACAATAATTAATTGTTTAATTATTTAATGATAATTTAATATGTGCGAAAACAATGTACTTTTAATTTTTCTTTTGCCCTTAATACAATATATAACACGACGATATTCAATTAGTCAATTTTACTTATTTCTTTTTTTTTTTTTTAGATCTTTTTATTCTTTTTGGATAATTTTTAGAAATATTTTAATTATTGAAATCAATAAATTATAATAATTAATTTCTCATTGTACAAAATGTATGCTGTTACTGTAAATGTTACATTTCATGTAACATATTTATTATGTGTTTATATGGTGATAGTTTACTATCACTCCATAGTCTCACGACAGCCACTGTTATTCCTTATAACCGAGCATACTAGTGTGATAATTGCTATCACAATAGTTCAGTACAGTTTCCACGACATAAAATGAAATAGATACGCCTACGATATAATATCGAGTAAATTATATAAAATTACGAAAATAGAAACATGATGTATTTCGTAGTCGAAATAAAATAAACTGTTTACTAATAATAAAGTTACCCATACCCTAGTCGTCGTCGTCGAGAGAAATCGTATTTTTCGAAAATGAAATAATATTTTATCGACACGATAACCTTAGAGTATATAAATCGTTTTATAAATATGTATTACGGCAATTTTTAATATCGTCACGTACTCACGTCCGTCTTTGTCCAATATGCGTCCGTCTGCTACATTATATCTATCTATCTGTATTCTATTGGAATCGGAAATCTTGATGGAATAGGCAGTATATAATAATATAATATATTAAGTACGTTTACGCTGCGGAAACGAAAAGTTAAAATTCTCGCATTATTTGGCCTTTTCGACAAATAATATTCGCGCGAATACACACTTGACCGCACTACCCAATACGATGTTTCATCTTCCGCCGGAATTGTTCGGTAAAAGGTTAAATTGTGTAATATTCTTCACACTTTTTCTTACATGCATATATATATATATATATATATATATTCGTGTATATATATGTATACGAATCGAATGTGGTATATACTACTCGTACACTCGACGGCCCGTAGAAAAAAAAAATATTGCAGTAGATAGCTGATTGGGTATTCGACACCAGGCAGTATTCGTCTTGACTATATATAGGTAGCAAAAGGCGTTTCAATATATTTGCTTGGAACAACCGCTGATTTCTATATTATTCGATACTATAGGATTTTAACGATTAACCGTTGAAAAAAAAAAAGTGGAGGAGACACAGTTCTGAGTGGAACTTCTGTAGCTAGTTACCTTTAATTGGTTTCATTAATTAAAGTAGGTAAGAAGTCTTTTTAACGTGAATGCAACATAAGAATCTGAGGAGATCATAAAAATTTCAAAATTCATTAAAATTTTTTTTTTTAATTAGTCATCAAAATGTCAGACTCTCATCTGTTCTGTATGTTCAACATTTTAGGTCTTTTCGTGCTAAAAGTTTTAAATTTTGTCCGAAATTGTATTTTTATAGTATAATGATGTAGCCAGAAAAAAATTCAAGGTTAGAGTAGAAGAATTAATATTGCAATTATCTCTTTCACTTCAAAACAGTAAATTTTCCAGTAATTATTAAATTAATAAAGATGCCTGAAAAATCGTAAAACTTAATAATGATTATTTATTTTCATTTAACAATTAACTAAAGTTGTTATAGAAGATAATTTGAGGGGAGAAGGTACTATAGACTCTAATCCCTCTAACTACGTTTCCATTGTTAGTCGTTTTTTCCTAAAAATATTTTAGAAAAACTTTTGGAAGTTTATAGAAAAACGAAAAACTGTGTTCAAAAATCTAATATTACCGAACGAAATATCTGCATCTTTAATAAGACGGCGTGTGAATTTTTTGAAGGACTTTTACTAAACGAAATTATTGCCAATGAACATACAATTTAAAAAATATATATATATATTTATACAGATAACTAAATCCGAGAAATCATGACATCAATAAAATATCTTTATATTTTATGCGACAAGACCTCATTTTTATTCTAACTTGAACTAGTTAATTTAATGGATCAAATAAATCCAAATAACTTCACATATTATATTATCATACTCGGGATTCAGCTATAATGCTTGTATAAATGTAATTTATTATTAAAATGCATATATACTCGAAGTTTTTAATTGAAAAAAAACAAAAATTGAAATGACGAAGAAATACCTAATAGTTTTATACTGAAATTCATCGGGGAGTATGCGTCTAAAGTTTATCTTTATATTGTATTGTATATGACGCGTGTAAATCCTTTGGGTATTTTTGTCCATCTCGGAAACTTTGTTGATTTAAAAAAAACTTTAATTACAATTAAATATCACATATCGAGGATAGACAGTCAGATCAGATATAAAACCGAAAATAATGTTTGTACGTTCACAATATGAATTATCAGTATTATTAAATACTATACGAATTAAATGATAATAATTATTATTGTTATGCTATGAATGTGTTATTTAAAAAATACAAATTATTATGTAGATGTAGACTTGCCTATCACTTTAAAATGTATTGTATTATCTTTTGTACGATTAGTTTATCAGATTTTATAATTTAGTGAGTTAATAATTGGTCTCAGGATACGGTTATTTTATGATGCTAACCAGTGCATGAGGTAACCCACTTTTAATCTTTCTGGTAAAACACGTTTAAAATATATGAGACAACTTAAATTCTTAATATGGGACAGTTTAATGGCAAATGTAGGTTTACTCGTATACTATATTATAGTCTATAAAACTGCTCTCGTTGTAGTGGCAACTGTAGCAACTACAAAAAGTGAATTTCAGAGATATTGACATTTTGCTTTTTTTGATTAATGCCTGATAATAAAAATTAACTACTATTTAGTTGAATGGACTTAAAACACGCATACATCTCTAAAAAATGGTTACATTTTAATGATTTACTGTATATTAATCTAGTAATCTAGTAATTATATATCAATGTTTTTTTTTGAAAAAACCACGTAAAATTGCAATATATCCAAATATACAAATTCAATATTACAGTTTGTACCAATACAGTGACGCTAATTGCGTTAAATTCCAATTAACTAGGTATTTATGTAGTATACATTTTGTTACCTACCAGTGATAAATGCATTAAATAATAGTATCGACTTATTGCGTTCTTGTGTAGTTTTTTTTAAGTTACTACAATTTATTCTAGTTATGTTTAAGTAATTAAAAACACTATAATTAAATCGCGTAGTTATGACATTTTGAAGTACTAAATACCGAAGTGGCCCTCGGGTCGTATCCATCCCGCATGTCAATTTCATACTGCCAGCTCCAAAATTATTATGAAATTAAATTGAATATTTTTTATACTACAATTTAAGAAAATTGTACCCGTTCTATAAAAATAATTAAATTGTATTTATTTTATGTAGATACTGTTCCACCATGTGTTAAAAGTGAGCACAGGTTATTTTGTTATGAAAGTTGAAAAAATAGTGAACATTATCCAACAATGAAAAATTGCATTGGTTATTAAGTATATTATTCGATTAGACAATATAATAATTTTTTTTTCTTAAACTGCCCGAAAGCTTTTATTATAACGATCAAAGATTTTTAACAATACATTTCAAAGATGTACATAAATACTTGTAGTGCATCAATTAACAAAAAAAAAAAAAATAAACATGTGTGGAGTCTCACTCCCAGTGGAGTGGCCCCGGTCTTAGCCTTAGAATCGTATACTAAATCATATGGTTTTCGGCGTAAGAGTCGCCTAATGTATTAATGTCTTGTGAATTGTCGAGTAGTTGAATTGCTACTGGATTGGTATGTTGACTCAGCCTTTCTCATGTTCCAGGATAAGCTGTCTTCCATCTATAAACAATTTTAAACGTCCTAGAAATAGTTTTTTAAAATAATTTTGAGATGGCTGGAAGAAGCGAGATTGGTTTGTATAAAATTACTTGTTCTGGTCGTTATTCTAGTTTAAGTAGCATGGTCACTTGGGCTTATTTCCATTGTAGGTATTGAATATGTGTGTTGGATGAATCATACAGTAGTTTTCATAGTTTTTTGAAACATTTCAACATATACTAATTAGTAATTAAATATTTATAAAATATAACTAGGTATCGCACTTGTAAATTTTTATCCGACTCGGCCTGGGATATTTTTTTCAATGGATTGTTAATGACGAGTAAAAGATTGCTGACCACTGAATTCCATAATATTAGTAGGTAGGTATGTAATCTACTAATTTGCTATAGAACTTAAGTATGTTAGGACTTAAGGTTCTTAAACTAAAACCTTTTTTTTAACTATTTTTTATCGATTGGTAATAATTGACGGTAATATGATAAAATATGATATAATATGAACTATATATTACTAGTTATCGTGATTTTTCCATATTTTTTATGAGAACTTTTATGGCCGCTTTGTGGCTTCTTAACCAATCCATTTATAACCATGCTTGGAATAAATGTTAACATTTTGGGAAAATAAACGATTTTATTAAGAATGTGGTTTTTCACAGAATATACTATGTTATTATACTGTTTCTTTTAAGTTTAGTCTACATACACAATGTGTTAGAGGAAAAGTATATTTTTCTTGATATTATATCAATATTTATGTTTATTTAGTCACTAAATTGTTTCTATTCAAATGTATTATTTTATTATATGGGTTATGAATTCAGAATTGTATTTCGTGAATACTGCACAGGTTAATTTCAGGGTGACTTAATTGTGCGTGAGTTTGTGTGAAGCGAAAATTTATACTTGTACAACTTGTTCAATATATATGAAATGGCATGTTCTTAAATAATGCAAAGTTCTTGTATTACCATCACAAACGACAAAACTATATTATTATGTAGTCGTATTGCATCAGGATTAATCATGACTTTGTTTCAAAACTTTGCAAATTTTATCAATTATACTATAATCTCGATAACACTGTACTTACCTACGATAGTATCTTCCAACACAACAAACACTCTTGCGAGTTTAGACGGATTGTATTATTATGTTAGCGTATAAAATAATGTAGTACATCATCCAGTTGTCTGACTTTTAAACAAATAATGATCACATTGAATACCTACCATTTATTTCACATTTAGTTAAACAATCTTTTTTTAGATTCCAAGCGTAGCGAGAAAGCTATTGGTTTTATAATGCTGTTTATTACTTCTTTCTTTGTTCTAGTCTGTGGACACGCCTTTTCCTAGTATACTTGCTCCGATGTGTAAGTGTAGGATTTTTTCAACTCAAGTTGTCTAGATTGTACTTTAAAAAGGTCTTTTTTTATTTTTAACGCCATTATTTAAATAAAAGTACTTAAGTTGTAAAAAACGTAGGAAAACGTATAATTTCACGATTTCATTATTTTATTAAATCACGGACGACGTTTTCTACCAGAAAAAATGATTTAGTCGAAAAATCACAAGACACTATTTTTGTTGCTTTTTTAATTTAATTTTTTACCGTATCATTGCAAAACTTTAGAACTTAAAAAAAATTTTAATTTTTGAGAGTTTTTGCTGTAATTCGGTTGTAAATACCCGTAGAGACTTGAAATTTGGTAATAATACTTATATTGAACTTACCTAGTCATGGTAAAATTTCTAAAATCATCGGATTCATTTTTTTAATTCAAGTTATTAGAAAGAAAAACAATTTCCACATGATAACGTGGTTTTTTTTCATTTTATCATATAAACACTGCAATAAATATTATTTATTAAAAATGTAAAATAATAATGTTGTGTTTATTTAAATAATATTGTACACAATAGTTTAAAAAAATTAATTCTTTAATATTTATTTAATAAATCAAGCCTTAGGTCAGTCGATTTTAATATATAGGTCATGATTATGATGCTTCATAATAATTATATAAAGGTACCTAAGTAATTCTACTGTGCACGTCCCTGAAAATATAAAAAAATTATAATAAAATCGTGTCAAAAGTTTTCAAAAATAAAAAGTACGCATTTTTCGGATAATGCGTATCGAGTTATAATATATACGTGCTTCAAAAAAAATAAAATAAAAACTTTTACTGTTTATAATAAATTAGCAATTTTAATTTTAAAGATTTTAAATTTAAATACGAGATTAATCGTATTTTTATTTATAATATTAATAATTATTATATTTTGAATTATTTCTCGACAATTATAATATTCCTTCAAGCAATGGCAAAATACCCCGTAATCCATATAGAATAACATTTCAAGCAATTTATTTGCATTAATATAATTTTTAGAAATATAAATACTTCCAGCTATTTTTTATATTATAAAATACTCGTATTAAAATAAAACAAAAAAGTTATTATTTCTTATGTGTGTATGCAAGAAATTACGTATTGTCGCGTTATTATTATTTTTTAGTTATAATTACACTTCCTTTGTATGAGGCCACGTTTTAAATTTCAAACAATAGGTAGGTGCTTGTTTATTTGTTTTAAAATAATAATAGTTTCGTTTCTACATAATAATAATTAAACTTGTTTTAATCTAATATATATATATATATATATATATATATATATATATATATATATTAATCACTTGTTTTGAAAGAAGTTTATTTTTGATTGATTTTTAAAAAACATTTCGAATTCGTTACTTTTCGATCCAATTAATATTGTTTGTAATATGAAGTATCGTTTATTTAAATACTATTGGTGATGTTAATCGATAAATACATTATTAATTGTTCGTAGCCGCATTAAAATTGCATTGGAAACAATTATGTAAATATGAACAAGACACTGGAAAATTAAAATTAACTAACAATTAATTAAATAAAACTTTTTAATTAAATTACGAACACCTATTGTGGTAAATAGATTATAATACTTAACGGTTTAACAAAATAGTTATTTATTAATATGAATTTTATAACTTTGAATAAATTAAAATTCTCAACAGTTCACCGTTATAGATCCTTTTTTGTTTCCTATTTCGAAACGTGCTTTTTGCTAAGTAAAATGGTTTTTCACTTAATACTTTAAAGATACGTTAGTACTTTAATTGAAAAAAAAATGTCTATATTTCCAACAGTTTTTCTCGGAAATTTTTAAAAATAATTACATGAAAAAATAATAATTATACTAGTTACAATGAAAAAAAGCTCGACTATCATAATAATAATAAATTATAGTAGGTAATACCTAAAGTTTCCGATTTACTTGTAGCGCTGAGAATTGTTTTATTATTTATGGAGAATACTCCGAATATCTAAGTATATAATTACTAATTATTATTATGACGTATATATATATTATGATTTATGACATATACTTAGGTATGTTCGAAGAGATCAAAGAGCCACTGCTGTATGTAACATCATTATACATGCATAGTTGTTAACGAGTCCTTTGTCGTGTGATAGATAGTAACCATTTAGATAATAGAAGAATGGATAGGACACGCCTATACTGATTTCATTGAGAATCTTATGCTTTTTTGGGGAAGAGGCATCAATTTCCTATGGGAGAAAAGTTTTTGAAGGTTGTTTTTGTTTTTTTTTTTCCAGATATTTTACTATTATTTCTTTATTATAATTTAGATTTTTACTCGTATATCATGATATATGTTTATAATATATTAAAAGAAATAATATTAAACCATTTAACACTGTTATTTATTAATAACTAATAACACTATTGTAAATATTTGTCCCATATAATATTTTTAAAAGGTATCATAATATGAAATTTAGTGATTACTT